TGATCGAACCTCCCACTTTCATGTGGATGGTCCCCCGAACCGACCTCTCTTCCGGAGGCTGCCTCTGTGGCTGTTCAGCCGGCCTGCTGTTGAACTCGGGAGCATCCTAACCATTCTCCCCTTGCCGACCTGCTTTATTATTACTATTATTATTTTGTACAAAGTTCCTTAAATATCTATGGCCGATGAGCTCCTCAATCTTGTCGCGGAGGTTTTTACAATTTTCGGTGCTATGACCGTGATCTCTGTGAAAACTACAGTACATATTCTTATTTCTCTCACTGGGATTTCCCCTCAAACGGGGTGGCCACTTCACATACGGGGCGTCCTTGATCGCCATCAGGATTTCGGCCCGCTTCGCGTTAAGTGGGGTGTAACCAGTTCGGTCCACTACAGGAGCTCAGAACGACAGACCCGACTTTGCCCCCTGAGCTGCATCCTGTTTCTTTCGGCTGTCCCCTTGACTAGAAGGCTCTCCTTCCCTCTTCCTCTTTTCGGGCACACCCTTGCCCTTCTGGTTGATCTCCTCTTCGGTGGCTATGAACCTGTCCGCGAGCTTAAGAAATTTGGTTATGGTCGCTGGTTGATTGACGACCATGTGCCATTTGAACTCTTTGTGCGTCATGCCTTTCTTGGCTGCGACGAGGCGCACGGCAGGGTCCAAGCATGGTATCTGCATGCAAGTGTCATTGAACCGCTTGACATAGCTCTGGATGGATTCTCCCTCTCTCTGCACTATGTTGAGGAGGCTTTCTTCAGTCCACGGGCACCGCTTGCTGGTAACGAAGTGGGACGTGAAGGCTTGCGTGAATTGAGCCCAACTTCTTATTGATCTGGGCGCCAGGTTCCGGTACCATGTGTGGGCTGCTCCCCTGAAAGTGGTTGAGAAGGCCACGCACATGCACGACTCACTGGCTCTTGTTAGGTGCATCTACGACTAGAAGGCATCTACGTGATCATTTGGGTCGAACGACCCGTCATACTTGTCAAGAGAGGGGAGCTTGAAGTCTTTAGGCATTGGGACTGCCAGGAGCTCGGGAGATAGGGGGGATTGAACTGAAAGGAGGGGAGCCTTGACTTCGGCCGAGCTTACCTCTTCTTTACCTCCGAGCTCGGGCAAATCGCGGGTGGCAGATCGGCGAGCTCGACGGCGGCGTCTTTGCTTCTTGGTGGGCTCGGCGTTTGTGCTGCTCACCTCTGTGCTGTCAGGGATGGCGTGTGCAGGAAGTAGCTCAGGGCGCTGTTGATGATTGCGGACAGAGGGATCCTGCTTGGAGCCTGCGGCTAGAATCTCGAACCGATTCTCTAGGAACGGGGTATCGGGCTTGGAGGGCTGAGGCGACGTGGACTTGGCGAGCTGAGGTCCTTCCGACCTGACTGCCCGTGGCGAGGCCGGAGTGACCGATCTTTCTTGTTTGCCGCGGGAGGAGAACTGGCTCCTTGGAGGGTTCTGGGGGGCCTCTCCTTGGCGAGAAAGGTGCTCCTCCTAACGATGGGGCCTAGCTCGCTGCGATGCTAGGTGCCGAGGAGGGAGCTGCGATTGCTGAAGCTGAGGTTGAGGCAGTTGGGGAAATTGCTGCTGATACTGGTACTGGGAGACCTGGTGTAGCATATGTTGCTGATAGAGCTGAAACTGTTGGAACTGCTACATTTGAGCCTGCATGGCCCGCATGCACTACATCAAGTCTTCCAGTTGGTTCAGGCTGGCCGCTGGGGGCACAACCGAGGGTTCGGTGAAGGTTGCTCCGACTATGGTAGGGAGCGGAGCGACGACGGGTGCCCCTGTAATAGGCACGTTCAAACTAGGGATCCCGTCTGCTGGGAGGGGGACGGTGAACTGTCCGATGCAGACAGTAGGAAGTTGGGGCTGTTCCCTGGAGTTATCCATCTCCGTTCTTTGTCCGATGTTGCTAGAGGAAGCCATGAGTGTTGGGTTTTTGAAGAGTAAAGAGATGTGAAAGTTTAGAGAAAGGCTTTTCGAAGTGTTTTCTCATAGACGACGCCAAATGATGTAGCGCGATCCGATCACTCCTAGCTGTTACTTGCGTGGCTCCTGGAAGGTACCTGAGATGGAGAAGAAGAAGAATCCCCGGGGACTTGCCCGACGGGAACACTCGGATGATTAAGTTAGTGTTTTGTAGGAGAAGCAAGGAGAGTATGTAGGCTAAGAGTGTAGATAGCGCGAGAGTAGAAGAGAGAAAACTGATCATACCTGTCCTCCTTCATATTAAACTCCTTGTAGCAGAAATCCATTACATCCGACCCACTGACCTCTGACAGGGCAGGTATAACCGCCACTGTTAGCCTGCCACAGCCGTTACTGGTAGGGCTGAGGTGGCACACGCAGGGCTGTCGTTGCATAGTACGTGCCTGTCAGGTGTAAGACACCTTCTAAAGGTGGCAGGCACGACGTTGTCTGATGAGGGATATGGCTGCTTTCTACAGATTTGTCGGGTACGGTGGTCGGGTAGGAGATCTTCCTGCGATACGCCGAACTACCCTTCCGCGAGTTACCCTGCATTGGGCTACCTTGTAAGCAGCGAGCTGCTTGTGGCAAGCTAAGCCGAGCTGGCTGGCCCGAGGTGTCTTCATCTCAGGGTATCCATAGGCGGATCGGCGTGTTCCTGTCTGGGAGTGGCCCGAGATCCATTGGGAGGAGCTCGGGCATTAGGAAAGGTTAGGGGACCCCGAGCTCGGGGGCAGCTCGGGGTGCCTTAGCCCCGGGGAGGCGGTGCAGGCCAGG